AATTTTTGCCTGTCATCTTGCCCTGTCGCCTTCGCATAGACACGCGCTGACATTAAGATTATCCTTTGGCTCAGGGTCAATGCGAGTGACGTAACAGGACGTTTGAAAACACTCAAACTGCATCAGGATACGTTGAACACTTTCTACCGCGTGGATTATATTCAGCGTTCACAGTGATTAGGCGTCGCGACTACTGGCGTCTTGAAGTCGCTGGTTGTAATTGCATCACAATTTTTCAACGTCAGAATATCCAGAAGTCAATAACAAACTAGCCTTTTTATAAACATGGCAGCAACCCTCAGGGATTTTCTCGGACGCCTATATACAACAGGCAAGAGCATGTCACGTCGAGACTGGTGGCCGGTCACTCCGCCCGTCTTCATGTAGAAATGCTTTTGGACTCATGACTAGTTTGCATAGTCTGACATCACATTTAGAGTCTTGCTAATGGGAACAGGGCGCCCTCTCTGATGAGCAGACAGGTCTGCCACTTGTCAGAAATCTTACTCTTTGTTACAATTTCATAGCATTTAAAAATGTTCATATATTAGCAATATACACAGTGGAAAATACGTGTTAAAAGAGTATACATAGTGTCCTAAAAGATGTAGGATGTGAGGTTTTCACGGAGGTGAATTTGGAGATGGCTGTCTTCTGGGTTGATACGCCGTGTAGTCTGGTAGAAGTTTACCGACGTTTCAGAGGTCCTTTCTGCTTCCATCATCAGGGCTATAAGACTACACGGCCCAACAACGTAGAAGACAGTCATATTCTCTCCTAACATATCGATACACACATCCATTAAAGAACAGACATTTTAATAAGCTATACCATTACATTCGTCAGCACTGGCATTTACTGACCTTGCTAATTTAGTGTAAGTATTCAATATGGCCACCGTTAGCTCCGTGGCAGAGTTGTCAGCGGTGAGCAACTTACTGACAAGCTGCCACCAAAGTTACTGCTGTGCATACATCTTTTTTTAAACAACCTGCTTTTAATAAATTTGTTTATAAATGTATACAACTTTCCACAAATAAAATACCCATCACGTAATTCTGAAAAAAAAATTAGTATTTTGTGTGTGCAGAAGAAATAGCTTTTGGTACATGGGAATCTATGACAGACAATCAAAATTACAACCGTTAACTTCTAGGCAGTGTTAACAACGGCGAATAACTGGCTGACAAATTTTCACCAAAGTTTCTCTCATTTCAATGCCTTAGTTGTTGGAGTGATGATTTTGTGCTGTAACCTGAAACCTTTAGGTGCCCCCTCCCCAAATAAAGATTTAAAGTCAAGTGGACTTGGTGGGTACTCATCACTTCCTCTTCGGTCTTCCACTGTGAAGTTATCATCAAGATTAGTCCTGACATCGCGATGATAACGCTGGAGTGCCCCGCCATGTTGGTAAATTTTTCCATCTGCACGCAGTTGACGAATAATGGGCACAACGAATCCCTTAAAGCATATTGAGGCAGCATGTTAACTATCCCTTGAAAGAGGCATACTCCTACAATATGCCTGAATAAAACACCACACCAGAATAGAATTTGTGGTAAATTCACTGTCTTGTCAGTATAAATGCGGTTTGCAGATTTTCAAAAACCATTAGGTTTAAATTTCAGTGTGCCATTCAGCTCGAATGTCGCCTCATGAGACCAAATAATTTGTCCACAAATTGTGCACCCTCGTCCAACTTCCTTTAAAAGCGTTCGCCAAACTCAGTTCTGTGGTCAGGATCACGTTCAAGTACTGCACGTAACATCCTCGACACCTAAGTTTTCAACATCCGTTGAACACTTGCCTGCTGATTCCAGTTACCCTAGCATATCGCCTAAAATATTATATTGTTAATCGTAAGAATTTCTGCTAACACCAAAGAAGAATTTTCCCCACTCGTAGATGAAACGTCTAGTACAGTGTCGTCATTTTTAGATTTACTAAAAATTCTTGAAATTGTTAGTAGTTTTGGTGGATCGGTTGAAAATTCACGTCTTTACCCTATGTTTACTTCGCACATTCTCCTAGTTTCCGGTACCGCTTCAGAATGAATTTGCTTTACTCGAAAGTCCAGCAAACCTCCGTAATTTTGTATTACACTTTCCGTCACGGGAAAAAAATTTCAGCTTCAAGCTGCGATGATCTCTAACTGTTTAGTGCATGCCACACTACTTAGAAGCACTTGAGTTCACGACTAATACGTAAATATGTTTTTATTAAAATATTAAAAATAATTTGAGACACCCTGTTTTTATAAGACCTTTGTCTCCCAAGCTTTGACTACAGATTCAATTCAATTCTTTATTATTAGTGTGCTGTATCAACAGCCAGAAGGCCATTTATACATACAGAACACGAACACAATAATAAATATAGAAAGCAATTAAAAGCATAATATAAAAATACATTAGTACGGAGAACGCTAATACAAAGAGAAAATTACTACTAAATACATTAGTATATTTGTAATAATAATTTAAATAAATTAAGGAAATTAGACTGTTATGGAACGTGAAGAAGTGTAACAATTTTCGTCTCGAATTTGTCCAAGTCGCTGCAGACAACATTAGCAGCTGGACTGTTTTTAATCGAAGGGCTGAACATGGAAAAATCTCTCAGATTCCGAGCAGGAACGCGGAGACCGACAGCTTTCAGAAGGGAAGGACAGTATTTAAAACAGTGGTAAACCTGCGCACGGAACAGTGCCTCACTACAACGCCTTCTCTTACACCTAATCTTATCTTAACCCACGCTGCAACCTTAATCTAGTTACTTGAACGGCCATAGGCTTTATCACCAAGAAGTTTGAACCTTTTATGTTGAGCTTCGCGATGTGCTGTTTTACAAATATGAGTGTATGTTGATTTTGTATGACTTCTGCTTACTCCCTGCATCATTTCGTGACGAATTCATACACATACGGAATTTTGAAAGCCAGATGCAGATAACGGACCGATGTCCGCCTTGGAATGTCGCCAGTGGTGCGAATAACATTGTTTTGCGTGGCAGCCATATTGGCCTACTTTGTGGAATGGAGTGACTGTGCTTTTTCGCTCTTGGTTTGAATCGCTTTGATGTGTTATCTCCAAGAAAACGTTCTGTCTGATTATATTTCACCCTCGTCTATAATTACGGGAGTTATAGATAACCAGCGTCTTATCCTAATTGATTTTAGTTCTATCACTGACTTCATGGAAGTGAGGAGCGTTTTGACAACATAACCTAACTTTTTGATCTGTGGCACATATAGGCCTACATGTTATCTCTCATCAGCGAAGAGGGTGAAGATGGACGCTTGGGATTTGGGGGTGCACTATTTACGAGAGGAATTAAAAAGTCAAAGCAAGCGTTGGGATATTTCCGTTGTTTGGTTAGCAACACTGCTTAGTCCTGGTAATACCGTAACTCAAGGTCAGACAGTGACATGCTGCGAGTGTAATTCAGTTTTAGTTTATTTTTGGCAAATAAATCTGGTGAAAAATTGTTGTTGCTACATCAAAGGTTTGAACTATAAACGAGAAACATTACTATAAATTTTTCCAACGACTTCAGCGACAGTTAAACGACAGTTTCTAAAAATAATTTCTTGTGATCGATTCATGTTCTGTTTGTTTGTTTGACGTCCTTACTTGTCTGCAACAACAATTCGGCTTCACCTGTTTTTAAAAATTTGTAACCATTTGTACACACTTCATTGTGGCAAATAGTTTTGCCCATACCTGGCAACCAAATGTCGAGACCTCTGATCCCTTTTTTCATTTGCAGACACCAGAGACACAGCTGCATTCTGTTTGACCTTGACGCTAGCCTCAAATGGATCCTTACGCCATGTTCGCTCGATACAAACGGATTCCAACTGAACCACACTCGCAGCATGTTGCCGCCTGGCCTCGAATTATAGCATGACTAGGTATACCGAATTTTTTCTTTGAAGTGAAGAAGTTAATTAGCTACAATTGGAATTTGGTTCAAACGATTCAAACGATTGATTGTCGTTCTACTGACAGATTTCTTATTATTTTATTTTAAGTTTTGTGACAACGGTTGTGATCGAACGCGATATATTTTTAAAATTGTATTTGTTACTTCTTAGCTCACGTCTGTATTTGGGTGATGATGGATGACGTATTCCGTTGTTCCCTACTTTCTCAGTTTAACCAGACAACATTTTTGTGAACTTATACCAAATTCCGTGATCCGAGTTCGGAGTTGGAAGATGCGGATGGACACTGCGTGATCATAACGAAAGGGTGGCCAATTTCAATTGATTGGATATTGATCTTGAACCTTGTATGTTTCTAATCGGGGCAGTTCATGGTCATTCATAGCAAAACGTTACGACATGATCTGTGTGTGTTGACAGTGAATATCCTTCCACAGAGACAACCAGTCACATATTAGCCTCAAGGTAAGAGTAACTGGAGTATGTAGAAATCCGTTTAGGGTAACTTATCTGAAAATGGTTGCCATTGTTTGATTCGAATTAGAAAAGCACCAAGAATGTACTAGGGAAACAAGAAACAAACCAGACATTTTTGTAGTGACTAGTGGTGTGCACTACAGCTCAGGGTCCAGTGATAGGACAGAGGTGTTCTAGCACACTTTAATATCTTTATCCTTTACTCTAGAGTAAACTTAGAATGTAGGACAACAAAGTTTTACGCCATCTTTTCCCCATTAATTTCTGTAACCAGCCAAGTGTCGTTAAATAACGAAACAAATAATAAATACAGTTACAGTAATGGTTACCTTTCAATGGATGGAATTGACTTTCTGTGTAACTTACATAAAACTGTTTTAGCTGAGAAAATGTCTGAAGAGTCCCGGCACTTGGGTTTTGACACAAAAGCCGTCCGCTTGGGATACAAACCGGATGTGTCCAATAATTACAGCCTGATGCCTCCCATCGGCTTGTCCAGCACTTTTCAACAGGATGATCCATCCACACACAGGGTCAGTGATCCCGAAAATACCGTCTGAAAGGTTAATAATGTCACATTAATAACGTCCATAAGATGAGAGATATTCATTCGTCGTATTAGTTAGAGTTTTAGTATTTATAGGGCGCTTCTGTTACTACAGATCGAAGATACCATTGGCTAAACAAACTATTCATACGACAATTCTATTTGAGCTCGTTTCTTTTCATATTTGTTATAAGAACACACGTACTAATATAATTAGTAAATAAATTCTCAAATTCAGAATCGTCATTTCGAAATAAGATGCTAAGGCATATAAATGCTTACAGAATTATGATATGAAGAATCAAAAATTATGTAAAGGAACATCGAGATGAGAGGACGATTTCAAAATCAGAGCTTGAGAAGTATGTCAGGGTTACTGAATTGGATTCAGCTGGCAGTTTTGATATGGCGCCAGATTTAGTTTTGGTGGATATGTTTCAGGGGTTTCTGTACGTGCGACAAAACAACCCCTCGCGACAGATCCTGGAAAAGGGATTTGCCTTGCTGGAAGACGCCAAGTATAGCCTCTGTTTCTCCTCAGGCACTAGCGCCATCAGCGCCGTCGTGCAGTTGCTGAACACCGGAGACCACATCGTTTCGTCAGAGGTCATCTTCGGCGGGACTTATCGATACTTCGACGAGGTGAGAGAGAACGAGGCTGCTCCACATGGAAGTAACTGTTGTCCAGTTTTTCAAAACAGGGATGACCCTGACATGCGGAGTAGAGACACAGCGTGGCAGTCGTGTAAAACGAATGCTGACGACCATGTCATAGAGGGCTTTGTGTTCAGACTTCACAACCCGAGTCTTGGTATTTAATGTTGCAGTTTTGACTTTTGTTCGGCTGCTGTAATTTAACGCTGTATCAACTTTGAAACTACAAATGTTTATGCTCAGGTGATGAAATGAGGTTATGAGAACAATTTACCAGGCCCCTTTTCTCTTGGAGTCAGAGGGAAATTGGCCCACTTGCATCCGTTATTGGTTAAACCCGCAGTTCGTTACGAATTGAGAAGAAGAGAATTAATCACAAAAAGATAGCCTTTGAAATGGAAGAGGGGCTTAAGCGACAAACGAAAAGTAAGTGGTAAGAAGAAAAACTTTTTCAGTTCGCGGTGAGCTATGAGACGATGTCAAACTTTTATTCAACTGAAAGGCACGTCACTTTACCTACACCGTGATGGGTAATGTGTGTACACAACTCTCATGCGTCACAAAATGGATTTGACCACATCTGTGGTGGTCGCTGATAAGAAAGATTACGTTAGTATCGATTGTTCAGTATACATTGCTTCCCACTCCTTCTAATGAGATCGGTTTTGTGATTAATAATTTATGATATGATAAAACTATTCTCGTTTCGGTTTCTGTGTCCTCAGGAACATGACTCAACAACCTTCTTCTTCTTTTTCCCTTGTCACACCAATCAACATCGATGCATCCCTGCCTTGTGTTGGAAATACAAGTTCTGAAACGTCGGTAAACTTCTATTGATCATAACGAAAGGGTGGCCAATTTCAATTGATTGGATATTGATCTTGAACCTTGTATGTTTCTAATCGGGGCAGTTCATGGTCATTCATAGCAAAACGTTACGACATGATCTGTGTGTGTTGACAGTGAATATCCTTCCACAGAGACAACCAGTCACATATTAGCCTCAAGGTAAGAGTAACTGGAGTATGTAGAAATCCGTTTAGGGTAACTTATCTGAAAATGGTTGCCATTGTTTGATTCGAATTAGAAAAGCACCAAGAATGTACTAGGGAAACAAGAAACAAACCAGACATTTTTGTAGTGACTAGTGGTGTGCACTACAGCTCAGGGTCCAGTGATAGGACAGAGGTGTTCTAGCACACTTTAATATCTTTATCCTTTACTCTAGAGTAAACTTAGAATGTAGGACAACAAAGTTTTACGCCATCTTTTCCCCATTAATTTCTGTAACCAGCCAAGTGTCGTTAAATAACGAAACAAATAATAAATACAGTTACAGTAATGGTTACCTTTCAATGGATGGAATTGACTTTCTGTGTAACTTACATAAAACTGTTTTAGCTGAGAAAATGTCTGAAGAGTCCCGGCACTTGGGTTTTGACACAAAAGCCGTCCGCTTGGGATACAAACCGGATGTGTCCAATAATTACAGCCTGATGCCTCCCATCGGCTTGTCCAGCACTTTTCAACAGGATGATCCATCCACACACAGGGTCAGTGATCCCGAAAATACCGTCTGAAAGGTTAATAATGTCACATTAATAACGTCCACAAGATGAGAGATGTTCATTTGTCGTATTAGTTAGAGTTTTAGTATTTATAGGGCGCTTCTGTTACTACAGATCGAAGATACCATTGGCTAAACAAACTATTCATACGACAATTCTATTTGAGCTCGTTTCTTTTCATATTTGTTATAAGAACACACGTACTAATATAATTAGTAAATAAATTCTCAAATTCAGAATCGTCATTTCGAAATAAGATGCTAAGGCATATAAATGCTTACAGAATTATGATATGAAGAATCAAAAATTATGTAAAGGAACATCGAGATGAGAGGACGATTTCAAAATCAGAGCTTGAGAAGTATGTCAGGGTTACTGAATTGGATTCAGCTGGCAGTTTTGATATGGCGCCAGATTTAGTTTTGGTGGATATGTTTCAGGGGTTTCTGTACGTGCGACAAAACAACCCCTCGCGACAGATCCTGGAAAAGGGATTTGCCTTGCTGGAAGACGCCAAGTATAGCCTCTGTTTCTCCTCAGGCACTAGCGCCATCAGCGCCGTCGTGCAGTTGCTGAACACCGGAGACCACATCGTTTCGTCAGAGGTCATCTTCGGCGGGACTTATCGATACTTCGACGAGGTGAGAGAGAACGAGGCTGCTCCACATGGAAGTAACTGTTGTCCAGTTTTTCAAAACAGGGATGACCCTGACATGCGGAGTAGAGACACAGCGTGGCAGTCGTGTAAAACGAATGCTGACGACCATGTCATAGAGGGCTTTGTGTTCAGACTTCACAACCCGAGTCTTGGTATTTAATGTTGCAGTTTTGACTTTTGTTCGGCTGCTGTAATTTAACGCTGTATCAACTTTGAAACTACAAATGTTTATGCTCAGGTGATGAAATGAGGTTATGAGAACAATTTACCAGGCCCCTTTTCTCTTGGAGTCAGAGGGAAATTGGCCCACTTGCATCCGTTATTGGTTAAACCCGCAGTTCGTTACGAATTGAGAAGAAGAGAATTAATCACAAAAAGATAGCCTTTGAAATGGAAGAGGGGCTTAAGCGACAAACGAATAGTAAGTGGTAAGAAGAAAAACTTTTTCAGTTCGCGGTGAGCTATGAGACGATGTGAAATTGTTATTCAACTGAAAGGCACGTCACTTTACCTACACCGTGATGGGTAATGTGTGTACACAACTCTCATGCGTCACAAAATGGATTTGACCACATCTGTGGTGGTCGCTGATAAGAAAGATTACGTTAGTATCGATTGTTCAGTATACATTGCTTCCCACTCCTTCTAATGAGATCGGTTTTGTGATTAATAATTTATGATATGATAAAACTATTCTCGTTTCGGTTTCTGTGTCCTCAGGAACATGACTCAACAACCTTCTTCTTCTTTTTCCCTTGTCACACCAATCAACATCGATGCATCCCTGCCTTGTGTTGGAAATACAAGTTCTGAAACGTCGGTAAACTTCTATGAGACAACACGGCGCATCAACCCAGAAGAAAGCCATCTTCTAACATTTACGTTGTTTATTAGCTCTGCGAACAACAGAGTTCTACAATAAAATCCTCTCGGGCTATCAGCCGCGTCTAGTGGTTAAGACATGAAAAGACCACCGTTTCGAGGTCCACCTCTGTCATCGTCCGCAGGGTACTGAAGTGGTTGGGGCTCTCCGTATACCTGCACCAGCCCCATGTGACTGGTGGATGACGTCACGAGCTCGCCTTGTTATGCTCAGCTAACAGATTATACAACATATTCAAAACAGGGAACCAGGCCCGGCCCAGCATAAAACCTCCGTCTCTGTTGATATTTGCGGTATTGAATCGGATTTCAATTGCCTCCTTCAATTCCTTACTTCAACTTTCGTGAAGAACAGAAAGATGACGACACAATTCTTCCGGGGAATAAATATGATTCTATAAAGGCGTATAGGGTGCATGGAGGTTAATATCCGTATATTATGGCACTATATCGAGATAAATTAGCTCCTTCGACATCTCAATGAGGTGGGAGTGCGGGATTGGTCTAGGGAGAGC